ACATTATCCACACAAAAAAAAAAAAATTGATATTATCCCTTCAAAATTTATTATTTTAATACATATTTTTACAAATTTTTTGAGTCATTTTACAATAAAAAAATTTATTATTTTTGCTGGTAATTTATCAATTTTATGAGTATTTTTATCATTTTTCTTCTATATAAAAAAATTATTATTTTTATAGATAATTTATCACATTTGTGAGTGTTTTTATTATTGTTATAATAATTATTTTTATTTTTTTTAATACTATAATAATAAAAATAAAAATATAATAAATAGAAGTATGGTATCGAAATTTATTTTTTGGGTACCATATACAAGTCTTTTCGTTGTTTTAGTTTGAGAGTGAGAGGCCCCACTAAAGAGGCAGCTAATTTTATCCACCCAAAAAGGTACAAAAATATCTCACCCTCAATTGACAGAAAAAGAGGTCCAACATATTTTATCTGATAATATATAAATTTAATGTTAAAGGGTAAGGTTGTGGTGTCATACCGAAATACATCCTAATCATTGATTCTATAGTAGATTATTTGTATTATTGATTGAAAAAAAAAATTATAAATTAATAAAAAATAATGACATAGTAAAATTTTACTTGTGATAATTTTTTTAGTAGACAAAAAGTGAAGATACCATATTGAACAAATATATTTTGGTGCCGAAAAATAGTTGAGTTGACATCCTAGATTTGGTTTTTTTTTTTACTTTTTTTTTGGTATTACGATCAGGGTGTTTGGACAGTTTACGTATATCTCGACTAATTCTTTTTCTGATTTGGTTAAAGATAGACTATCCACGTTATTAATAGAGAATGCATAGGGGATAAATCTTTCATGGTCGAAAACTATCTCCAATGAAAACCCAAAATTTTACTCAAATTTGAGTTTAAAAAAAAGATAAAAAACTTGATTAGGTATAGATCTCTCCAATGGAGAAACTCAAATTTAAAGAAAAATAAATTCAAATTTAAAATATGGTAAAATATGATCATTGAATTTTTAAAGAATTATGTGCTCTTATTATTAAAGATTTGAGTAAAAAAAATATTTTTTTTTCATTTGATATGGGTATGAGTCAAGTATTGAAGAAAAATTTTAAGAATTTTTTATTCAAATTTAAATTTAGGTTTAAAAAAATATAATATTGAAGATGCTCCAATCCCAAAAGAATTGTCAAGTTTTAAAATCAGAATGTCTAGATTTACATTCCATCTCTGTCTCCACTAAACTAACCCTTCGTGTAACCCACTAAATCTAAACTCCATTAATTTTTCTATGATACGAGTTTAATAATTTATACGCAATACAAACTTAACAAGATATAATTCTCAACACACAAACCCATCACAAAATCAAAATGAAGTTATCAAATATGAATTTACTTTTAATAGATTCACATCATAAAGAGATTTATTTGTTAGACCCACTTAACAATAAATTGTGTATAAATTAAATATTTTTCCAATACGATTCATTTTCGGTCCTAATCATAATGAGTATGAGGAATAAATTTTTTCCAAAAAAAAAAGGAGCCTAATAGAAGACAGTAAAGAAAGAACCACAAATGTTATTTTCAGTGATATGCTTTTCCTCTCCACCATGATCAACCTGGCTTAGGATCATTCCTCGAACTTGATTTACACTAACCTAATAGAAACCTTAAAACTCGACCAATCACAATGTCACACCTTTCACAGCATTAGACAACTTTCTGTCGTGGCTGCCACTACCAAAATTTTCAGCTGAACATGAAGTTAAGTCAGAAATGACTGCAAAAAGCAGAAAGATTAATCTTTGCCAATATAACACTAGTGGGGTTGTGTATACGACTACGAGTGTAGTGTTCGTGATTACAAAAGATTAGGACAAGAAAAGGCGACGAGAGGGAGAGGGAGAGGGAGAGGGAGAGAAAGAGAGAGAGGAGTTTGAAGAGATTAAGGAGAATATAACAATAATGGCTCTTGTCGTACGAAGGGTTATGAGTTGGACTAAGTCGAAAAGAGAGTAAAAATATTAGTCATATTTCATAATTAGCGAACATCAAAACCACCATCTCTTCCTTTATTAATAATAATTAACTAATCATAATGTAGAATGTAGAATGTCATCCGTATGCAATTTTTCTCTTTATCTTTAATACATGTTGCCAATTCTCAAATCCCAATCCGGAAAAGACAAATAATAGGGGTGCAATTTCAACGGCCCAACTCAAACTTAACCCGAGTTTAACTCGAAAAAAATAAAATTTATATTAAAATTTTTAATATTTGGATTGGACCTGGGTTAAAAAACTTCAATCTAAATTGAATTCGGACAAGTCTTGAGTTGCCAGATTTAATTCGAATATTAAAATCGGGTTGAGCCCGAATATACATAAATATATTTAACTAGGGCTAATATTTATCTTCACTTTTCAGAGTCCAAATTTTTACTTCACTTCAAGTCTTCATCTTGGGCCTCTATTACTCTCAGATTCCTTTCTCAGTCGTCACTCGTCCCTCTCTCGATCGTCACTCGTCTGAATCGTCTCAGAATCTCAATCTCCCTCTCTATTCATCTGCACCTTATCCTTAATCTCAAATCACTTGAAAAAATCAGATCTACAAAAAATTAAATTTACACTTCAAAAAATTAATCCGAATTAATTCATCCGATCCAACTCAACTTTTAACCCAAAATCAGCTCAAATTAAGTAACTCGAATTTAACTTGAGCCCACCCAAATTAAACTCAGGCAGTACTCAAATTGACGTAAGATTAGAGTTAGAGTTAGGATTAAGGCTAAAAATTATATACTTAGTTGGTGTTTGTATGACAAGATTAAAAGGGATTAGAAGTGGAATTAAATTAAAATAGTGAAATGGACCACTTATCTTGGTTTGGTTGAAAAAATTGAAAAGGCCTCCTCGTGGGATTGAAAAACTCGGCGTCCACTACGCCTTCACTGGAATCCAGCCCACATGGGATTATCCGGACCCATGTGAATGGAGGGATTCAAAACCTAGTGAAGAGATACATGATAAAATTACATATACAACCTCAACGAAATGGAGAAGTTTTACAACTTCTTGTTGAATTGCCGGCGTTCTTTTCCCGAAGCTTTCGTCAAGCAAAGCAAAGTTTGAAGAAAAGCAAACCCAAAATAAATCAAGGCAAAAAGAAACAACAAAAAAAACCCAAATCTAGCAGATATATGGTTTACCCTTATTGCAAAAAGGGATCTCTGATAACTCCTATGATCGAGGGAGCTCTCACTTGCAGTCGTTCCCTTTGAAGTGCACTGGAGGATTGGAGGCAGTAGGGAGCTAGAGATAGTCCACAGAGACTGTCGGTGAGAGGAAAAAAAAAAAGAATGGCTTGAAAGATATTAATTTATACCTTGAAAGATATCTTCAAAGAAAAAGAGACTAATCACAACTTGCACCATGAAAACTCACTATAATCTCAATTATACCCTCTATTAATTTATACTTGAAAGATATAAATACATATCTATACCCTTAAAGTCTAACTTTCATCTATTTGTCTCTAAAAAAATTTAAATTAATTATAAATTACACCCCTCAAAGTTTAAATATTTCACATTTATATTCTAAAAATAATTTCATCCATTAATATTTGTTACATAACTTTCAATTGTATCGTGTCATGTCATGGAAAATAAATTACATTTGGGTCATTGAAAAAAATTTATATGGTTCGGATTAATATTGCTATTTATTGAAAAAAATAATTAAGTTTTATTTTTAAACACACATCTTTGAATTTTCTAGAAATAAACAAATAACGACTTAGGCTTGAGTTGTATCGATATGTTTATTATTTTTGTGTTGAAATTTTTTTTTTCCATGATGCATATGTTTTTTGTGATTAAAAGTGTATTGTACAAATTAATTTAAATAAATGAACAAAATATTTATTGCAATATTTTGTAAAAATGCGTAATTTATTCATTTGTATTTTTTGTCGTAAAAATATCAATACAAATAGATTGAACTTTTTTCTTTTCATTTCATTCCAAATATGGTATAGGATTGGATCACATTGTTTTACACAAGGGTGAAATTGTCATTTTAATTTGTTTTATCTTCACATGTTAATGGGGGCCCACAAAATAAATGAAACATATCCAAAACGATTTGAATCCCATCTTTATAATCCTTAAATCCGGACCACTTTGCATTGAGTTGTGATTCAAATCCAATCCAATCCAATTCTTCCATGGTGATCCAAACACCACCTTATTGTTAACCTCTCAACCTGCTTGAGTTGCACCCTATTAAGTAATTACCTTAATGGTGCGTTTGGTTGGCTAGATAAACAAATAGAAAAATAAAAAGTGAAAGTGATACAATTTCTATCCTCGAGGAAAGAATTCTTGTTTTCCTCCTTTATGTTTGGTAGGAGGTATAAAAAATAGAAAGAATTAATTTTTTTGTGTTTGGTATGATGAAATAGTGAAAGGATGAAAAAAATATATACACTTATTTTATCATTATATTTATATATAAATTTAATGTATACATTATATGTAATAATTAAATATGATATATGTATATATTAAAAAATATATAAATAAATAACATACATTTCATTATACATAATTAATTTTCTATTAATTATTTCTCTCAAATATGAGGAGATCGATTTTAATGAGTTAGAAGGAAAACTAATTTATTCACTTTTTCATTCTTTCTATTTTCTTTCCTTATTAAACATGATATTTTATCTATTACTTAAACTTTTTATTCTTTCAATTTTTATCCTTTTATTTTCCATGACATTTGGCATTGCATACCCTTCGAATAGAATTTCATTCATCGTCTCTAATTTCTGTCATCCAAACTAGGCCTCGATTCTGATGGGTAGGTTAAACCATTTCACAGGTCTTGTCAATAAAACATTGGCCTACCTACCTACCGGCTGCTCCAAATGGTTTCTACTGTCCAGATCAACAAAAAGGTTAGCAACCTTATTACGGCAATGAAAATAAGAAAGAAGACAAATGAAGATTGCCTACTTTCAAGATCTTTTGTTCAAGAAACATCCTATCTACCCCCTCACAATCTCCTACTGAAGAGACAATTACCTAACACATTCCTCAAAAATGAAGTAAATTTTTTGAGTATTTTCGACATTTGAACTGACATAATAAAATTATTGTGCATAACCTTATATGATATGGCCATCAATCTCTCTCATGGTCAATCTTAAGCAGCATAAGGGCAAGCCTAGAAGGGGGGGAAAAAAGGAACATGAAAAACTTTGCCACAAGCTTGCCCGTTTCACGTAATAGGATCTCTAATGGCTTTCACCAATAAACTCCAAGGCAACCCTGAAATCAGATTGGAGAGATGATCAGCTTTGCATCCTGCAATATGAGTAAAATTCTCTAATTTATTAACCCCCCTCTTCATCACTATCGCCACCGAACATGGCAGCCATTTTCATGGCCAGTTTTGCTGCCATTTCTCTCCTCTGGAAATCGGGCATCAACCTCAAGCTATCACGCATGTTCCCAATCTGAGACATCAATTGTTCCAGATCATCGTAATCATAATGAGCACCCTCATCGGGCCCCAAGGCTTTATCTGGTTCATGTGCTTGGACCATTACTTCTCTGCTACTTTCTTCCTGAAATTGAGATGATGATGTTGAGGGCTGTGGGTCTTCTCCAACTGATTTGTCTTTGCTCCTTGTAACATTGAAATTCTGAGCAACCGATCCTCCTGCATCATTGGTTGCAGTAGGACCAATTGCTGAGACCCATCCTCCATCTGTGTCATCCCAGGGTTCTGCTGAACCCGCAGATAAGATTTCGTACTCCACTTCAAAGTCCGATTCTTCTTCGGATAACTCTGAGCAGTGTGGATTAAAAAACTCAAGCAATTTGATAAAATAAAAAGTAGTATTTGCAGGTCAATAAGGTCATGAGCAAAACCTTGTTGTTCAGGTAATGATGGCTCATTTATCTTATCACCGGATTTTAAGATCATTCCAGGCCACATATGAGCAGAGAGGGCCCCATAGAGTCTCTCAACACCCTGGGAATCACCATCGACTGACAAACCTGTCAAGAAAACATCTTTTCATTTCAATAAATCTAAAAAAAATACCAGAGCATGAACTAAATTTCGTGGAAAAGGGAGGAATAGACACATACAGAAATACGTCCATTCCACCACGCACGATCTTTGAGACAAGCTAAATGTTGTAGATAATTTTTTCTAGAAAGGATGCTAGAAAGGGATAAATGTAACTGTGAAGTACAAATACAACTGCCTATATTACAAGGACTTTGAGAAGGAACATAGGTGAGGGAGTGTCAACAACATATTGAAATGACAACTTTGCATCAATGATATCGCTAAATATGCATGCGTATCAAGATACTCCTCAGTCCTGGAATTTCTCTAGAATCTCTTAACTCTTATCCAGGAAATGAATACCAGTATATGGCTACATATAACTAAAACTTCAAGATGGGAAGATGTTTGAAAAGCAAGTAAAGGGGAGACCAAGTAACACACCCAGACCTGACAACCGAGCCAGTCAGTGTAAAATAACGCTTAGACTATGGGTCTATTTCCCAGTACGTTTTGCAGCACCTTCTTTCTTTTTCTCTTTTTATGATGAAGCATGGCATTTCAAATTCCTCAGTTATGTTTATTGTATCTAGTCTACTGTAAAAAATGAAAACAAGATAAATTGAACGCAAAACTAATAGCCAGATGTAAAACAGAAGACATCATGAGGCTTTACATTTGTCAAAATCAGCATTGGATCCACAAGCTTCAATGTATTCAATGTTGTGTTGAATGCACCATTCCATACAAGAGCTCTTAGCCTCCCATAATGATTCATCATCTCCCAGTAAACTAATTCCTTCGGTTTCAGCAATTCCATGATCTGAAAACTCTGGATAAGGATTAACAGAAGATTCTTCAAGTTTCAGCAGATGCCTTCTGTATTCAACATGAGCTGCATGACCAGGTAGAAGATCCACTTTGTTCCCAATGCATAACAGTATGTCAAAGTTCTGGATATCGGTGCGAGAAACCCAATCTTTTAGTGCAGCAAAAGATGATAGCTGTAGATAGTGGCATGAGCAAATGGAATCACATCAAAATATCAGGCTGCAATATAAGTTATACGCTTGGAGTTCAAATAAGATTTTGCAGGTACAAATTGAAACTTCCACAAATAAAGCAATATAGAGAGTAAGCAAGAGTGTGGGTGAGGCCAACATCACTCATGTCGAAAACCATGACCAAGGCAGCCAACTGGTCAAATTTTGGCAGGGCTCCATCTGAAAACTCATCATGAAGGTGAGCCATCCATACACAAACATCAGCTGTGTAATATTTTGTGTCAATAGTCCACCTGATTACAGATCATACTTACTCTGTAAGTACATGAGTGGAAAATTCTACATGGATTTGCATGATATCATTCTAGCATCCGAGCATGTTTTATTATTGTACAGTGGCTAGCTAACAAATCTCTCATAAACTTACCCATATGCAAGTACATCAGACGATGAATCAGAAGCATCTTCAAAATCCAAAGAGAGTAATCCTATATAAACAAATAATTAAAATGGTTAGACTGCACAAATTGCCTTAATCTTTGATAGAGAATATTTACCTGCTGGATTGCGTCCATATCATTAATCTGCCTATGCTAAGGCACACCATGTCAACTGAACCACGACAAGCATGCAAAATAATCAAAACTCCAAACTAAACAAGTTTTGTACACACTATACAGAGTGGACATAAACAAACAAAGAACCTAAAAAACATGTTACAGTTGGTAAGTCCACTCTCTAGAATGATCTCCACTAATAAAATTCCCTAATTATCCTCCTATGAAACCCCCACAAAATAAGCCAAATGTTGTCTCTTTTACCAATTCAATTCTAAAGACACATAGGAATGCCCTTCAATGCTGTCCCAGCCACCAAGTTTCGTAATCTCATTAAAAACATAAATGAAATAAGTCATTTGCTTTGGGTTCTTCAGATTATGGCAACAGCACGACCTTTCAGGATTCCTCTAGGCTATGGCTATTGTTCTAGATGAGGCAATGGAAATTCAAATTCTGCCATAAACCACAACAGCCACTCTTTACATAAACCTCAACAGCCATTCTTCACATCAGCCATTTTGCTGGCACATTGAGTTCCAAATCAGCTCAAGACTTACAAATATATCACCCATCAGCGTTAAGTCTTAATAGCGCATTGCAGGCAGAATCCACACATACCATGGGCTTTGCTCCAAATCATATGAAGAAGTTTTCGCTATCCTTTTTTCTAAGAATGCCAAAGGAAAGGCACCGCTTGTTGTTGCTGATTGAGATCCAGGAGATAGTACCACGGTTGAAAGTTCCATAAGCAAAGGCTTCAAGGTGATAGTGTTTGTTTTAGTGTGGCACAATACACAGCAAATTCTCTAAAAAGTTCCCAATTGATAAAATCCTAGTTTTAGGAGATCAAGGATTCAATTATGGAGTCCCCCAGCTTATCCAGAATAATACAAGTAATAGAATCTAGATATTGAACAACTTAATTTTGTCCACCTAGTATTGGATGCCGCGTCCAAAAGAGAAAGGGGAGAACAGGACACATTGCAATTTCATCAAGAAACGTGTTTTGTGCTAGGAAAACAATGAACACATAATAAACTCAGTAGATTGGTAAATACAAGCCCAACCTCACTTCAAGTTAGATTGAAGCCCTATCACATTAGGTGCACATGCAAAAAGAATTTTGCTAAAAAAGAATCAATATTGACCTTCAGTAAACCAAAAGCATGCCCACTTCTACCAATTTCGAACAAATCAATGATTTTAAGCGTGGGTAAATTTGCATTAAAAGCACTGTAATTCCTAACAGGATTGCGCAAAAAAGCCAATTATCTAACCGAATCTCTCTCTCTAAATGCAAACACACATACAAGAGATTTAAGAGCTCACCCTACCTACCAGCAAATCAATAGATAGATACACCTATAGTTACATTACACATCCATGTGTAAGTGCGTAGGAGAGAGGGAGAGAGAGACGTACCGGAGAGAAGAGTACGTTTACCGACATTGGGAGATCCGACGAATAAGATTCCGGGCCTCTTCTCCAGCGATTCTCTGTCCACCACCGTCGCTGGCTGATCCATGCTTAGGTCCTTTTCAGTTCTGCTGCTCTGCTACTATCGAAAACGAAAAGGTTTGCGATTGGTATAATTTGATCGGAAAATTTGACGACGGAGATCAAAAGATATATAGCATTTCGGTCATTTAATAAAGAGAAGTGTTTTAAAAATATTATAAAATTATTTGACCAACAACATAAAAACGAATAAAAAAATTAAAATTTTATTTTCCAAACACAGTGGAACAACTTAAAAGTTTCCAAACATGTCATAATATCCTGAAATATTTCAAAATATTTAAATTTTAATTACAATATTTTTTTTCAATCTCTTTAAAAATAAAAACGTTTCGATTATTTCAATCATTTCAAAATGAAATTTTGATAATTTCTTCTAATATGTTTCTCCTCGATTGATTTAAAAAAAAAAAAAAAAATTCTCCCCTCATAAAGCATATGCAAAGGTACTAATCAATTATTTTAAAAGTTATTTACCTAAATTTCATACATTTATATTTATTTGTCAAATTATCATTATTCGTTTTGTAATAAACAAACAAATTTTTTATTTTTACATTGAAACCTATATTTTTAAATATTTTTTAAAAAATGATGATAGCTTGTAAATAAATTCTAAAATATCAGTTATTAGATAAATAAGTTTATGAAGAACTGTAATTGAATAATTAACTCCGCACGAGCCTAGCAAGGGTTTTTTTGTTTTAAACATTTTTTTTCATAATACACACCAAATTTAAAAATGTGAGTCTAATTAAGTTTAATGAAGAAAATCTAGTTCAACTTTTTTTTTTCAAGTCATTAATAACTCTCAAATTTTTAATAGGTTTGACTATCTCTTTTTTTCTAAGTCCGTATAAGAATATATCATTTCCGTGAGTAAAGCCAAAACAACAGTAATATTTTATGTCATTCGTGAATGCATTCTATTGTTTATATAAATAACAACTAATTAAAAAGAGTTAAAAATCACAATATATATATATATATATATATATATATATATATATATAGATAGATAGATAATAAAGTAAAAAAATTAAGATAATATGATATATGAGTGTTGCTACGGAATTACTTCTAATTTTATAAGATTACTTGGTGGTGGTAGTTTCTAGACGTAAGGATTCTAATCCTTCAAATACAAGATTCAAATGAATTTTATTGGTTATAAATTTAGTTTTTAATCGATTCGAAGGGCAAAGTTGCACCATTAGACACCAGCCAATGAATGATTCGTCTGTGATTGAAATAATTTCAAAACTATACAAATCAAATATTACCTAAGCATCATTTATTCTAATATGTTGACCCGAAAACACTGATAGGAAGTTATTAGGCATGGGACTAGCCTAAAAACTTAAGCATCACATACCTATTGACTCGTGGATAAGCGGTGTGGTCAAAATCTAAGTTTACTTAGGTGTTTTTCGGGCTTTGATCTCCATTCTGATCTTATTTATCCAAAAAAAACTAGATCGAAGTGTGTTTTTCCCATCACTTGCTTAGCCCAATGTGCTTAATGACTGGCTCTCCTCAGTTTCAAATGCTGAAGGTGGATAGTCTTTGCGAGCAAAGTCTAAGGTAATCAATGCCTTCTCTTTCCTTCCAAGAGTCATCGTCTTTTGCCTTAATGCCCCAAGTCATCGACGGTCATTGTCCTTTGTAGTTCTGTTGGTTGTTCAAGCTGAGCCATGGATGATGGATTTCAACCTGGTGCCCACTGCTGAAACATGGCTCAAAAGACAAGTTTAGTTTAGCAAATGAACAAAGCTAAGATAAAAAGCTTCTGAACAGGCTTATAGTTAGAAGTGGGTTCCATTCCATCCATGGAGATCATCATCATGCAAAATTGCCTCAAATCAGATGAATTATTCATGTGAATTACGTTAAGAATCTTCCAGAATATTTGAAAAGGAAATTACCATCAACCAAACCCGGATCAGCGCTAAAAATGACCAAATCAAAGTTTTTCGATGCCACAAATATATATAGAAAAAAGTCCAACGCGGTTCTATCACCATCAAGTAACCAGTAATGCTGGCAGAGAAACTGGCACATAAATGATTTTCTACTAAATTAACGAATCACACTAGCTTCTAATTAGCATGCTACGGATAAAAACTCATAATGGAAAATTTTAGGACTGTTTTGTGCTGAACAAATGTAAACAGTATAGGTACAATAACAAAACCCTAATAAATGAACATTCATCTGCATTGGAGACTATTTCAGACTAACATTAAAAAAAACATAGGAAAACATGAAGTGAGGATAAAGAAGTAACCGAAAACAAAAAATGTATGGAAAACAAATGGGAGATGTAACATGGCAGCCACTGAGTACCCTCTGATCTCAATTTTGTCGATGATTACTTTTCACTTTCTCAGCTAATCACCATTTCAATTATATTTTTAGCTCCAAATAAACTCATATCGACAGAGTTGGTAACACGGTAACAGCTCATACACTAGTAAAGACAAATCACCAAATGTTCGAACCCCTTAATGCAGTCAGTTAGTCTTGGCAGCTGCAGCAGCCTGCTTTGCGCCAACAGCGAAGAACTCTGTAATGACTTCAAGAGGCATGCCTTTCGTTTCTGGAACCTTTAAAAAGACGAAAATCCATGCTATGGAGCACACAACAGCATAGATGCCAAAAACACCAGCAAGGCCAATGGAATTGAGCATCACAGGGAGCGAATAAGTGACAATGATATCTCCAATCCAAAATGTGAGAGCACATATAGCAATGCAGAGGCCACGAACACGGGTAGGAAAGATCTCTGAGCAGAGGATGTTTGGGATTGGCCCAAAGCCCATGACAAAGCAGCAGAAGTAGACCACAACACTAATGGTTGAGATAATGGCATGAATGACAGTTCCCATTTCAATAACATTGCCAAGGACTAGGATAATGAGTGATGCTAGTAAGACAGGTAATGTGGTCAGCAGCAGCCACCTGGAGAAGAGAATAACAGTTACGACAACAAATTGATCTTCAACTAAAGCAAGTTAAATACGCATGCTTCACCAGTTTGAAGACATCAGATTCCTTTAAACAGTTGCTGACCACCATTCTCTAGTACAATTTTAAACGCCTTCAATACATCAGGCAAAATATGAAGTCATAACACGAAGTCATAAGGATTATCAATCCATCCAAAACATTTACTATGAATGACAATCCAAATACATTAAAAAGGACTACAAACATGAACAGGTGTTCTACTTTTTCTAGGACGAAAAACACGTACAGAGAAATGAGCTCTCATAAAATCCAGATGCTGCACACATGCATAATAAAAAAAATTATTATACTGAGTTTGGAGTTTTATCATTGAAGAAATTAATTACCTTCTGCCTGCGATATCCATCATTCTCATTGCAACACCTATGCTTGGAAGCATTAAAAACGTTGTGACAGCACTGATAAGGAGAGATGCAGAGTCTGAACTAATGCCCATATTTGATAAAAGAATGCCTACACCTGCTTGTTCAAGAATTTGAGGGGTGTAGTAGAGAACCCCATTTATCCCGGAAAACTGCAAAGAGAAAGAAATTATTCATGAGAAACAATTATGACACTAAGTTACTGAAGACATATGTCATTGACAACAAATTGTGAATTTTGGCCAACATTACAATTGGTTATGGGAATCAATACCATTTAAGCTAGGCATGCCGAAAGTTGCAAGAAGGGCGGTCACTCAGGCCAGTAGGTGTTGTTCCCACAAGAGTACAAAGGGCAGGGAATCCATATCAAAACTAACGCAGGTTTGGGAGGCATGTTAGGTTGGGTTCTTGACATTGTGGTGAATGATGATGAACATTACAGTGTCCACAGGACGTGTTGAACCACTAAAAATAACAAAGATAGCATTAATGAACCAATCAAGTAGGGGCCCCTTCTAAGTTCTATTAGTGATATGTTTGTATAGAACAGACTCAAAGGGGTTCTCCAAAGCCTCGCTTTTCGGGTTAACAACAGAATTGCCGTTATTCGACTTTAACCACACCCATCTGAAAATATAAAGCAACTTGAGGACAGCAAACCACGCATTAAAATGGACCTGGAGAGATACACACTAGATCAAGGCATATTACCAGGTCGAATCACTAAATAGATCTTGTGCTGAGCAGATCAGTTAGGGTAACATGGAT